GAGTAATTTTATGATAACTGGGGCTCAGGAAGTTGGATTTCTTAGGCTAGAAAGACAAATTTCACTACCCGCCATAAGGTACCTTTTGTCAATTATGGTCACAATTTATCTAATCCAAACTTCAAAATGTCATAGATACATGTAATTATTATAAAATTTGAATTTGTTAAACATTCTAAATTTAGTAGCATACACCACTACAAATACCTACACAATACTGAGTTAGACAAGATGGTATATTAAATATTTCTCTGTTTATAAAAGGTGTCCTTCATGTAAACTGTCTTCCAACCATTTCAATGAGACTACTGTGGCCTTGTGTGTATTCCATGGTAACTTGCTTCCCTCCAAGCCAGGAACAATAATGTGTGTTGTTTTATCAGTGGAGGCCTCCTCTACATCACCATTATAAGTAAGGATAGTTAAGGAATAAATACATCATTATTAAAGTAACATTAAATCTATACATGTAGAATTAGGATATGCTATTATATAACGGGATAGAGAGAGTTTGGTGATCTTATCAATTCCATAAAAACAGACACTGATATCAGTAAATATATCAGGTAATGGATCCACTACTAAAGGATTACAATAATGATGAATTAATGAAGGAGTCTCTTTACTTTTAGTATGAAGTTCAGGGCTGACACTTGGTATACCGTATAGCGGAAAATTTTCGTGGCCCAAAATTTTCGCGGATTTTGCGTTTTTTTCAAAATCCACGAAAATAAAATCCGTGAAAATTGATTTTATACGGTTTAAGATGGCTGAATTGTAGAAAACCACGAAAATTAAAGCCACAAAATTGATTTTTGGACGGATCCACGAAAATTTTCCGCTATACGGTAGTTTTGTGGTGTCCATGACGTGGAAAATAATAACTGTTGAAAGTGTTAAGGAGATAATTATCAGTCATAGAAACACACAGAAATTAATGTGAGGAGTTTCCTTACATGTACATGTACAATATAGTTTATAGTAAGTGGTTTGTTCATTTCTGAGATACATAAAGGTTGGTATTCCTTTGCTTGAGAGATGTTTTCTGATTAATCTCTCAGTACCA